GTGGGTAGGGGATACATCGTTTAGTAGCGCTATATTGTCTTTTTCCAGCAATTTTTCGATTTCTTTGCCTCCGGGGTCAGTTTTTGCAGAGCCCCATTGTGGGCTGTAAGCATTGAAGTCACCGAAAATTATATATGGTGTGGGTAGTTGTTGAATTATTTGATCAATGTCAGATGAGGAGAATTTTTTTTGGTTTAGTAGATATATATTACATATTGTAAGTTTTTCTTTCAGGTTAACTTGGACAGCTAAAACTTATATTTCACTTTGGATATTTATGGTTGTGTTTGAAATATAAGATTTGGTGTATATTGCTATCCCTCYGCTGGCTCTGTCTGCCCCTTGACGGTTTTTGCTATAGCCATTGTAATTGTTGAGGGGGCCACGCAGTTTACATTAAAATTTGTTTCTTGGARGCATATTATTTCGGGATTAWATTTTTGTATTAGGAATCCGAGCTCTTCTCTTTTTTTGAAGAATCCGTTGAGATTCCATTGGATAATATTAAGATTTGTGTCTGTCATGATGGTTTCTAGGTATGCTTTTGTTTTAGTTTGGTTTGTTATGGACTTTACAAGTTTAACTCTTGTGGAGTTGATTGGAATAATAGGTTGGCTAATTTGGTAAGTTTAGTTTTTGTTTCTCGGTTATTTATCATAGGTCTGACTATATCAATAGTTTTTAGCATCGAAGGTATGTCTACATTTCCTTCATCACAGAGTGAATGGATGTTGATTGATTTGTTGGAGATATTGTCTATTATATATTTGAATTTGGATRATGAGATATTGATTTCTTCACTTTCGGAAAATAGGCCTTGTATGGATTTAAAGTGATCCTCAGCTTTTGTAGTAACATTTTCGAGTGAGTTGCTTTTTTTAAGTTTTTATTTTGGTCCTGAGGTATTCTCTTGGTTTTGTTAGATTCTAACAACTTATATTCTAAGTTTTTGTTCTGTTTTGGTTTCTCTTTGTTTAKCTGTGTTTTAGGTTGTTCCGAGATTGTTGGTGATGTGGGACAGCTTGATGATGAGAGGAATATTTTGACTTGTTCATTGAATACGCTTTCAATGGTCATTAATTGGATTGATACTTTTAGATTTTGAGTGTTTTTGGGTATGGTTTTAACATTAGCTTCGATATTATCTTCTTCATGTGTGGAATTTAAGAATGTGGTGTGGGTTTCTTCTGTGGTTGGTTTTTTTGTATTATCTTTATTAATAGACATGGTATTAGGTTCTTTTTTACAGTGGTTGGAAGTGTGACCGCTTTGTTTACACGAGTAACAAATGAGAGTTTCATCAGTTAAGAAAATTCTGAAATTTGTGTTATCATATTTGATTATTAACGATCCAGGTACATTTGCATTTGCTGTGTCATCGGGGTGTATATATACCTGTCGCCGGAAACTACTGATGTGCGCAARCTCAT